ACTCCTACTACGACTAGTACTACTACTACTGCTGCTGCTGCTACTACTACTGCTACTACGACGACTACCACTACAACGACAACAACAACTACTACTACTACTACTACTACTACTGGTAGTACGACTACTCCTACGACTACTCATACTACTACTACTACTACTACTACTACTAGTACTACTACTACTACTGCTACTGCTACGACTACGACTACGACTACTACGACTACGACTACTACAACTACTCCTACGACTACTACTACCACTACTTTTACTACTACTGCTACTACTACCACTACCGCTGCCACTACTACTACTACTACTACTACTTCTACTGCTGCTGCTACTACTACTACCACCACTACCACAATTACACATACTATTGCAACTACTACTACTACTACTACTACTACTACTACTACTACTACGACTACGACTACTTCTACAACTACCACTTCTACTACTACTACTGCTACTACTACTACTACTACTGCTAGTAGTACTACTACTACTACTACTACTACTACTACTACTACTACTACTACCCCTGCACATGCGGCTACAACTGCTACTACTACTACTGCTGCTGCTACTACTACTACTACTACTACAACTACTACGACTACGACTACGACTATGACTACTACTACTACTACTACTACTACTACTACTAATATTACTGCTACTACTACTACTACTACTACGACTACTACTACTACTGCTGCTACTACTACTACTACTACGACGGCTACTACTACTACTACTACTAGTACTGCGACAACTGCTGCTGCTGCGACGGCTACTGCTACTACGACTACTGCGGCTAAGACTACCACTACGGCTACGACTACCATTTCTCCTGCTACTACTACTACTACTACGACTACTACAACTACTACTACTACTACGACGACTACTACTACTACTACTACTACTACTACGACTACTACTACGACTACGGCTACGACTACGACTACTACGACCACTACGGCGACCACTACTACTACTACTACTACTACTACTACTACTACTACTACTAATACTACTATTACTACTACGACTGCTGCTACCATTCCTGCGACTGCTACTTCTACTTCTATAACTACTAAAGCTAGTATTGCCACGACTACTACAACTACAACTACAACTACAATTACTACTACAACTACTACTACTACTACTACTACTACTACGACTACTACTGCGACTACGACTACGACTACGACTACGACTACTACGACCACTACGACGACCACTACTACTCCTACCACTACTACTACTACTACTACTGCTGCTACCATTCCTGCGACTGCTACTTCTACTTCTACTACTACTGAAGCTAGTATTGCTACGACGACTACTACTACTACTACTACTACTACTAGTACGACTAGTACTGCTACTACCACTGCTGCTACTACTGCTGCTACTACTACTGCTACTAAAACTACTACTACTACGACTACCACCACTAATGATATTACTACTACTACTACTACCACTACTACTACTACTACTACTACTGCCACTACCACTACTACTACTGCTATTACTACAGCTATGGCCACATCTCCTACGAATGCTCCTTTCACTCCTACGAGCACTGCGGTCACCACGACTACCATTACGCATTCTACAAATACTTCTATAACTACCTCTACTACTACTACTACTACTACGGCTACTACTACTACTACTACTACTACTAATAATAATAATAATACTACTAATACTACTACTACTACCACTACTACTACCACTACCACTACTACTGTTATTACCACTACTGCTGCTACGACCACTGCTACGACTACTACTACTACTACTACGACTACTACTACTACGACTACTATGACTAGTAGTAGTACTACTACTACTACTACGGCTACTACTACTACTGCTGCTACTACTACTACGACTACTACTACTACTACTACTGCTACTGCTACTATTAAGACTACTAAAACGACGGCGACTACTACTACTACTACTTCCGCCAATATTACTAGTACTAGTACTAGTACTGGTACTACTTCTAGTACTACTACTACTACTACTACTACTACTACTACTACTACGACTACGACTACGACTACGACTACAAGTACAACTACTACAACAACAACTACTACTACTACTACGACTACCACTATCACTACCACTACCACTACCACTACCACTACCACTGCCACTACCACCACCACTACTACTACTACTACTACTACTACTACTACTACTACTACTACTACCACTGCCACTACCACTACCACTACCACTACCACTACTACTACTACTACTACTACTACTACTACTACTACTACTACTACTACGACGACGACGACGACGACGACGACGACGACGACTACGACTACGACTACAACTACGACTACGACTATGACTACGACTACTACGACTACTACCACTACTACTACTACTACTACTACTACAAGAACTAAAACTTCTACTCCTTTTACTACTTGTACTACCCTTACTACTTTTACTA